TCTCCCCCCACACCCTTCCACTCTCTCTAAAAATCAATGGAAAAAAATATTCTCAGGTGAGGATTAGAAAAAAAATTACATAATTATTGTTCTAAGTGAAATAATCCAAAAAGGTAGAAAAAGTAATTCCTGCTACTCTTGCTAATTTCCATTCTTCTGAGTTAACTACTGTTCAAACCTTCTACCTTACTGTTATTTTAAAAGTGTTTTCAAATTAACAATAGAACAAATTTATATTAGTGGTCCTCAAACGTGTTTAGGTGGCAGAAGTAATGACATGAAGTAAACATCCATATCCTACTGGTGGGTAAAGGAAACCATTCTAAAAAGCAATTTGGGCCCTAGCAGGTTTGGCTCAGTAGACAGAGCAGTGGCTTGCGGACCGAAGGGTTTTGGTTTTTTTTTAAAATATATTTTATTGATTTTTTACTGAGAGGAATAGAGAGTTGGAAACATCGATGAGCTGCCTCCTGCACACCTCCTACTGGGGATGTGCCCACAACCAAGATGCATGCCCTTGACCGGAATCGAACCTGGGACTCTTCAGTCCACAGGCCAACGCTCTAGCCACTGAGCCAAACTGGTCAGGACGGGGTTTGATTCCGATCAAGGGCATGTACCTTGGTTGCAAGCTCCTTCCCGGCCTGTGCCCTGGTTGGGGCTCATGCAGGAGGCAACCAATTGATGTATGTCTCTCACATAGATGCTTCTCTCTCTTTCCCTCTCTCTTTCACTCTCCCTAGAAATAAATGGAAAAATACCCTCAGGTTTGAATTAAAAAAAAAAAGAATTAAAAAGCAATTTGGTAGAAGATAGAGATTCACTTACGAGATACTCATTTCAATACTCTTTAAAATAGCAAAAAAAACCCCAACAAAAGACCACCAAACTTCTAACCACCCCATGGGGATGATTAAATTATAACCAATGCAGACATTAACAGTGAGGCTATAATGAATAATTACATAAAAAGATAAAGATGCTTGCTGCATTTTATTTATGTAACTAAATAAATGCTACACATCAGAATGTCTAAATGGTAGAATGGGTTGTATGTGTGAGATTTCTATTTTTAAATTTTTGCTTCTCTATATCTGCTACTTTTTTAGCTTATTTATATCATTTTTTTCTTCAATGAATATGTATTACTTATACAAGGAAAAAACACAGTTAGCTGCTGTGCACCCAATTAGAATATCCCATTGAGCTCAAAATTACATCAAAAGAGACAAAACAATAGATGCCAAAAGTTGGGGGAAATATGAAGAAAAATCTAAATTTTTCCCCCCAGTAAGTTGGGACTAAGGAAAGGCTATTCTTATTTATGGCCTATGAAATATCTCGGTCTAGCAAACAGCCCAGCATGTTCCACAGGGGCATGGACTGTAACCCCAGGAACTGGTTGGCTTTCTAACTTTGAAGGAAAAACTCAAGCAGAGCTATTATCAGGCTACCTGTCCCTAGATGCAGAGTTAATAAGGTGCTTGTACCAGCAATTTCTGTGTTGTATATGGTATGTTTTAGGGTTGTACAATTTGTTCTCAGTGAAGTACAACACAAATATTTTACATAAAACATTTCCTATCCTTGCTTATACTTTTAAATGGTTATCACCATTCTTTCTTAGCCATCTCTTCCCCTATGAGAACACACCTCTGATATAAAGAGCTGTTCTAGACTTAGAAAACACTGAGCTACACATATATTTTTAGTCCTCTCCCCCTCAGAGAAATGAATGTATCTGTGTTTATAAAGAACAAGGCTATACTGATCAATGAACTGAACCTATTATCTTAACCTAAGCCTTTGGCCAAAGAACACAGGTAAAGTGTTACCAGGGTCTTCTGCCATCCCCCAAATAAAATAACAAAAAAGCCATATACCCTAACATTTATGATCAAACTTCCACTTACCGTCCTCAAACACTTAGCTCTCACTAGATGATATTAAGGTCAACCATGGAATACAGTCTTAGATGCATTTAAGAGCTTTCTGTTCATACATTCAATGGAGAAAGACATTTTCTTCCTTCCCCAAATGACAAGTCTTCAGAATCCTGAAGGCCAAACCTACTTTCTGAGAGCAGGTCCCACACAAACATAAGGAACCGTGTGACTAGTTGAGTTTGGTTTTAAAGGAGTCATCTTGGAACTTCTCATTAGCCTTAAGAATAATGCTTTCGTGCAAAAACACTTTTTTAATTCCTCTTACAAATATTTCCCTTCAAAATCTACAGCATTTTTTTCTCCCGGAAAAGCCTTCTGTTGAAGGTCAAAGCTTTCCTCTCCTCTCTTACCTCCTACTGGCCTCAGTCTCCCAGGCAGACCCCTGGGGCACCTTCCTGATCCCCAGTGGGGCGGCTCCCAGGCCCCTCAAAGCCCCGCAGGCGTCCGAGGCCACGGGGCAGGGGCCGCAGCGCTCGGCCTTGTCCACACTGCCTTTCCGGGCGGGCGGCATGCTGCTGGCGCTCAAATATTTGTTTAATAAAACACCGGATTACCGTAGCCAGTGCTGTCCAACGGAGTAGCTCCCAGTCGACTGTGGCTTATGAACACTTGAAATGGGGATCTGGCAACTGTCAAACCCATCTTTTAACCGAATTTTAATTAAATAGCCACACGACTCTAACCTCTGACAAGAGGGTAAGGTCTGTTGATTACTTAAAAAATTAATACTTGCACATATATGCACACTTTTTAAAAAAGCAATATGTTAGTTACCTCATATACAAAAAAATTCAGTATAGTGGGAACACCAGCCCAGGTGTATTTCCCAGAGGGAGCAACACTGCTGTCACTGAGCACCTTATTTATTTACTTGTTTGTTTAATTGTCAAATGCTGTAAGTCCCCCCACTCTCTTTTTTAACTTTTTGTCGAATTTTTTGGGGTGACATTGGTTATTAAAATTATATGGGCTTCCGGTGTATAATTCTGTAACACGTCATTTGTATATTGTATTGTGTTCACCCAAGTCAGGTCTTACTACTTTCATCGTACTTTAGCTTAGGCACAAAGACTTCAAATTCTGGATTTGAAAACCTTTACATCCACGTGGGTACTTTTTGAAATTTTGGCTGAATTTAATTAGTCCACATTCTATGGATTTACAACTACTCAGTAATAACGTAAACTCCCGAAATTACAACTCAAAATAACAGCGTGAAGCAGCTTAACCCTTCCGTGTACTAGCACGTGGCCAACACAAAATGTCTGACTGATGAGCCGACGGGTCGAACGTGACCCAACCTCCACCTTCAAAGCCGGGGGCCTGGCCAAGGTGCCCCTGTTCTCGGGCCCAACAGGGGCGCTCGTGGCGGCCACGCGGGGGGGGGGAGGGGGGGCGCCCCTAACGTCACCGGCGGCGACTTCGTGCACGCAGGACTGAAAACCGCGTGCGCCCCGGGCGAACGCGGGCTGGATGCCCACAAGTCGGCCACTTGTTACACCCACAGCCACCCGTGCACCACGTGCACCCGCCGCCGGACGGGCAGGCCGGCGACCCCCGGCCAGAGCTCGCCGCTCGGCCCAGGGGGGTCCGGCAGGGGCGCGGCTCCCCCGCGTGGCGCCCGGACCCGGGAAGCCGCCGCCGCAGCTCGCGGGGCGGGCGGGAGAGGAGGGGCGGGCAGCAAGGGCGACTCTGGAAGGCCCGCCCGCTGCAGGCCCCGGGCGGCCGCGCTCCTGCACTTGCGCGGGCAGAGGCCGCCCAGGCCCGCCCGCACCCCGGCGCCTGGCCCGGGCGGAGCCGGCTCCTGGCATCGCCCTTTTAAGAACGGGGGGGAGCAGGACGGAGCGCTCCCGAGAGGAGAGGAGCCGACTGCGGAGCGCGCGGCTCCCGCCAGTGCGAGCCGAGCCCAGCCCAGCGCGGCGGCGGAAAAGCCGCGAGCTCCGCCCGGGGAGCGGCGGCCGGCAGCCACCGCGGGGGGCGGGCGGGCGGGCGGGCAGGGCAGGGCCGAGCTCGCGGCCGGCTCCGGCGGCGGAGGGAGACGGGTGCCCGCCAACATGGCGCTGTGTCGGCCTGTGGCGCGCCCCGGCTGGCGCGAGGAGCCGCCGCCCGCCCACACCGAGGGGCCAGCCTCCCGGACCGCGGCCCCGGAATTCGCCGCCGCGGCGAGGGAGGGCGAAGCCGCCGTTATAACGGCCGGCCCGGGCCGAGCGGGGCCCGCCCTGAAACGAGCGCGAGTGGGGAAGGCCCCGGAGGCGAAAGGGAAGCGGGGGAAATGGTGGAGAAAGTTTTATTTTTAGGCTTGAAAAATGGCGGGAACCGCGTCCTTTTTTCAAACTTGGCCTCGGGAGGGGCGGCGGTTGCGCCACCTCCGCTGCCGGGGCCCGCCCCTCCCCCGCTCCGCGCGCGCCAGGCCGCGCCCGCCGGAGCCCCGGCACCCGAGGGGGCTTCCCGCCACCCCCCCACCCCCCCGCCCCTCAGAGGCCAAGGCGCCCTCCTCGCCTCCCGGCCCCTGCCCCCCGGGCCGGCGTCCACCGCAAGGCCGGGCTGGGAGAGCCACGTCCGCCCCCGCGCTCCAGCCCCTTCCCCAGCCGGCCCGGGGCGCGCGAAGCCCGGCCTGGCCCGCAGCGGGCCCCGCCTGGGATGGCCGCGCGGCGGCTGGGCAGGCCGGGTCCCGCCGGGCCGCGCACCCCGGGAGGCTGCAAACATGGCTCCCAGCGTTACACAACCCCTCCTCCCTCCCGCGCCGCCGGCCACACGCACACGCACTCCTCCGGGAAGGACCCCGGCGGACGAGGCGCTCAAAGTTTGCTTCCCCCACCCCACCGCCCTCCCCTGACGGCCACGGGGGCCCGCGGGCGCCAAAGAGTTAATATCCGCGCGCTCGCTCCCCCCTCCGCGCCCGCCCGCCCGCCCGCCCGCCTTCCCCGTCCGAGCCCGCGAGCTGCGCCCTTCCCCGCGCCGAGGCCGGAGAGCCCGCGGCCGGGGCCCCGCAGGTGGCCACCATGACATGCAAGTCATCGGAGGGAGAGGGCGCCCGCAGGGGGCTCTGCTTACGGCGGCCGGGGTCCGGTTCCTCAGCTCCAGGTGGATCCTCTTCTTCATGTCCATGTTTCCCTCTTCCCCCCTCTTCAAACTTAACTTTCCATGGCGGGGGCGGAGGGGGGAGAGGCGTCCTAGCCTGCGCATTGAGGGCGGTCGGGAGGGGTCGGGTGTCGGCAGAGGCCGGTGTTGAGGGGCTGGGCGGCGTGCGGCGTGCAGGCAGGCAAGCGGAGCCCCCAGAGGCAAGTTACTCGCAGGAGCTGAGAGAAACCATGGAGGGAAAAGGGGGCTGGAGCGCAGCGCGGGCCTCACTACCGCCGCCCCCGGCCGCAGGCCGCACTGCGCTTAAACCGGCGACGCGGCGCAGGCGGCTGCTCCGCTCGCTCACTCGGCCCCGCGCGGCGCCGCTCGCTCGACTAGGTGGCCGCGGTTGCAGCAAGGACGGGGCGGGGAGATGAGGCGGGCGGGCGGGCGGGGCGGGGGTGGGGGCCAGGCGCAGCCCGGGGGACCCGGGCGACTTCCTCCCCTCCCTCCGGTTGCACGTGGGGTGGCTGATGTAAGACCTTCCTCCGGGGGCTTCCCCGCCCACCGCCGAGCTGAGACACCCCCCCCTCCCGGCCCCCCTCGCCGGGGGCCCAGCTCGCTTGGACGTTGGCCCGGAGGGCTCGTGGGGAGAGGAGGCTGGAGAGTCCGGCTTCGGGGGTCCGTGAGGCCAGGTCCCGCTCCGGAGGCTCGGCCATGCCAGCCCGACGCCCGCGAAAGTGGGACACGTGAAGGGGGCGCGGGGACATGGGGCTTTCGGGTTCACCCTCCACTCCCCCGCGGTCCCCGCTGTCCTCTCGGCCGGTTGGTCTCGGAAGGGCTGAGAGGGACCCCCGTCGGGAGCGGCATCGCGGTCGCCCCGCGTTGTATCGCGTGGCACCGGGTGGGGTCGGCCTGCGCGGGGACGGGTGCAACTGCGGACACTTGCCCGAGCCACAGAGGAGCCCTCGGGCGTCCCCGGGTTCAGTGGACTCTCCCCGGGTTTCTAACAGTTAAATGTCGGCTGGCAAGGCAGCAATTAGCATTTCTAATGGGGCCTCGGAGTCTTACAGTTTGTCCCTGGACTTTTATCCCATTATTCCTTAGGGGGGACCCCTGCGAGGTGTGTGAATTCTTGATGGTCTCGGTTTGGGTGAAGCTTGGCAGGTAGCCTTTGTAATGGTCCGGTTCCGAGAACTCCCTGAAAGCCAGGGTTAGAGCATTAAGTTTGCTTTGCAGACCTAGAGTAACAGACCTATATTCAGCTTAAAGTAAGTAAATGCATCCTATGTCTCATCAGATACCGAGTTATTTCTAATATAGACAAAAGGCTCCAAAGATTGGGAACAACTTGTGAATAGAGAAAAACAATTCTATGCATCAACCTAAGGTTTTCTTAAAGATTTCCCCCTCCCATTCTACCTGTGGCAAACAAAACCACTTATATCAATTTTTAAAAAAATATGTAATTAAATTTTCAGAGCAAAAGAACGTTTTTAAAAAGGCTCTGGAAAAGGCAAAAACTTTCTGGTATGCAGTTTCCCAAGTCTTAAAATGTTAGTCTTAGACATCTCTGTGACGGGAAAATGGTGAGGGAAAGTGCCCTTCAGGATGTCACACGAGCACTAACTATAAGGTTATGAGAACCACAAGGCTGTGAGATGAAGGCTTTTATGAAAAACTTTGCAAATCAGTTCCATGAGCTCGAAAGCAATGATGGATCATCCATTTTTAGGGCTTGATAGGTTCTTTCTCATTTAATCCAAAGACACCTCTGTGAAATAGATTGTATTTTAATCATTTTACAGATGAGGAACTGAACCTGCATGGCCAACAGGAGGAGGAGCTAGGGTTTAAACCCAGATGGGTCTAACTCTTAAAGCCTGCCATCATTTCTGCGATGCAGTCTGGTTGGAATGAAGTCTGAGCATGGGGGCCTGATTTGGAACATGAGGTAGGAACATCTGTAGAGCACCTTTAACACCAAAAAGAACATGCAGGTGCCATCTTGCAGGTAAGGGGGAGGTGCTGACGGACACTGGGTCATGGTAGCTCTGTGCTAGAGAGACTGGTAACCTGGTGGCTCATGGGGGAGGTGGTACTGATCCTTAGGGGAAAGCCAGGCAAATCTTGGGACCCTATCCTCTATGACCAACTCACAGGGGTATGAAGGACTCTTTCCTCACAAGATAAATGTGTGTTTTATAAGTTTAAGCTACAAAGTAATTAATAAACATAACCACAATGTGCAGCAAATAGAAAGCAAAAAAGCCAGAGGAGGAGAGACTACAGACCCGGTACTGTCCCTTCCGACACAGCCGGTGCTGGCGTGCACCTCCATGAACAAAGAGCATGTGTTCCAGTGACATGCTTCTTTGTCAGGGGCTTCACTGCCGGAGGCATAAATAACACGGGCAGAACAGGGTGTGTCTCACTACCCTGCCAGCGTCTTCCACTGGACTGTCAGGCCACAGGCCTGAAGGGGCTGTCACAGTGCCCTGGTTTTGAATATTGCGGTACTTGACGAGTATGCATCTGGGTGTGAGACAGAAGTAGAATATAGACTATCATTGTATCTAATCCATGGTTATTACCATGTTCATGGATTTATGGATTTGAATAAGGACTGGAAGGAATAAGGAAAAGTGAAAACAGCTTATTAGTTTATTAGGGACTCTGAACTATAGATGAAATATTTTTTTTTTTACTTCCATTGACACGGTTGTCTAATAAATAATGCAAATGTCAAATAATGCCTGGTTTTGGTCCCTTTTGAGTGTTAAAACTGCCTGTTAATCAGAATGTGTGTGTATCCCAATAAGCTGCAAATTGTCTGAGGGGAACACTCTCATTTGTAGCTCCTTGGACCTGCTCTCCTCTCCAGTGCCTCAGCACCATCAGGTCATTGGTCAAACCATCAGATGACCGAACTTTCCACAAATTTGTTGCTGGGAACAAATTTTAATACATCTGAAGATGAGAGGAAATAGCCCAATTCAGGCGTTGATCTAACTGGCTGTGAAATCAGTTTAGCAAAATGGCACCCTTTCTCTTTTGTAAAGACAGTATATGAAGCTAGTGTACAACATAGGAAGAAATCATTACTTTTAAAAAACTAACCGTCCTCTCCTATACACATGTGCATCCATTGCTCAATCTGCCCTCTGACATTCCATAGCATGGTGTGTGTACCTGTTATAGCAGTTAGGCAACACATGGGAGTTGTTGAAGGTTCTAAAATTTCAACTGGACTGTGAGCTCATATGGATATTTCTGGATGATATAAATAGGGAGTAGGAGGCCTGGGCCATCTTTAGAACATAGGTTGTACAAATCTCTGCATTGTAAAATATAGAACATTCTTCTCCCCCCTTTTTTTGTTTTTATAAAAAAGGTTTATATTGATGGAATTCTGACCATTCATCAAAGGGTATACATTTTAGAGCTTGCTATTGCATTCCTCCTCATCCCTGATAATGCTGTCAGGTGCTCCAAAATGTTAAATCAGAAGATATCACATGAAGCCTCAATAAGACAGCTTATTTTAACTCGGCTAAATGGGGTGAGAACTCATTAGAACAGTGATGGCGAACCTTTTGAGCTCGGCGTGTCAGCATTTTGAAAAACCTTAACTCTGGTGCCGTGTCACATATAGAAATTTTTTGATATTTGCAACCATAGAAAAACAAAGACTTATATTTTTGATATTTATTTTATATAGTTAAATGCCATTTAACAAAGAAAAATCAACCAAAAAAATGAGTTTACGTGTCACCTCTGACACGCATGTCATAGGTTCTCCATCATTGCATTAAAAGAATAGGCTACTAAACATGGTATGATGGAACCTGAAGAAATAGCTCTGGCTTCCTAGATACATATAAACATACATGTTCCTCTGTATTTACGACTTCCTACTTTAACTTAAAAAGTTGCAAATTATGCAGCTTTACATTTTTATTGTGAATTGGTTCTACTTTTGAGCCTTAGCACTTCAAAATAAAACCTTAACTTTGAGTCAAACTGTTAGTTTTTCTTTTTGTGTCAAGAACTTTGATGTGTTAAAACTAAGTAAAATCCATTTACTCAATCCAAAACAGGCATTAAAAAGAAAAACCCCAAATGCTCTCTTATATTCATTTTAAGAGTAGGATTGGCGCTTTCCGCTATTACCTGAGTCCTGCTCTATCACCCCAGGAAGAACTTGCCAATCCTGGGCTTCCCAGGGTGGCATGATAAAGGTTTACTGAGCTGGCTGGAAAGGCTGCAGTGGGGTAAAGTAGGCAGGAATTTTCCCTGGACCTTAGTTGTTTTCCTACCTTCTCCCATGCCTCTGCATTTACCTTTCCTTCCTCAGAAAACCATGGGCAGATTTCACAAAACCCAACAACTGGAAAAGCTGTTCATACCTCACAGAACAGCCCTGTGCTTGGAGCGTGGCCTTACGCATGGATACGTATAAATTCTTTTCCTGCGAACCTGAATTTCCCATGTTTTACACCTAGTTATATCACTGAACTTCGCTCCTCACCTTCCTTCTTGTTTTCTGCGCATGCTTCACTGGAGCATCCTTTCACCTGACAACTGTAGTTTCCCCGAACTCAGGCCCAGTGTTGGGCGCCACATGTGCCGAGCCAGCTCAGCCAAGGGTTCGAAAGCCTGAGTGAGGGCGGCGAAAGGATGAAGAAATGACAGACAGAGAGAATAACTGGGTCTAGGTCAGTGATGGCGAACCTATGACACGCATGTCAGAGGTGACACACGAACTCATTTTTTTGGTTGATTTTTCTTTGTTAAGTGGCATTTAAATATATAAAATAAATATAAAAAATATAAGTCTTTGTTTTACTATGGTTGCAAATATAAAAAAATTTCTATATGTAACACGGCACCAGAGTTAAGTTAGGGTTTTTCAAAATGCTGACACGCCGAGCTCAAAAGGTTCGCCATCACTGTCAGGGCTGGGCAAACTTTTTGACTTGAGGGCCACAATGGGTTCTTAAACTGGACCGGAGGGCCGGAACAAAAGCATGGATGGAGTGTTTGTGTGAACTAATATAAATTCAAAGTAAACATCATTACATAAAAGGGTACGGTCTTTTTTTTTTTAGTTTTATTCATTTCAAACGGGCCGGATCCAGCCCGCGGGCCGTAGTTTGCCCATGGCTGGGCTAGGTGGATCTTCCTGTGCCTGGCTGAGGCCACAGAGAGAGATCCAGAGGCAAGCTGAGCCTTTATTTTATAGCCAGAGGTAAACAAGGTAGTGGTCACCATAGTTACAATGTTCTTGTGAGTTTCACTTGTTTTGGCAGCACTTGCTGCACCTCCCACAGCCCATTAGCTACCTAGGAAGGATCTAGGGCAGCCATGGGCAAACTACGGCCGGCTGGCCGGATCCATTCCGTTTGAAATGAATAAAACTAAAAAAAAAAAAACCACCGTACCCTTTTATGTAATGATGTTTACCTTGAATTTATATTAGTTCACACAAACACTCCATCCATGCTTTTGTTCTGGCCCTCCGGTCCAGTTTAAGAACCCATTGTGGCCCTCGAGTCAAAAAGTTTGCCCACCCCTGATCTAGGGAGCATCATAAGGTCAGGCCTAATTGTGCTAAGAGGACTGTGCCCTCTAAACTGGGACTTGTTTTTGGCTTTGCCAACAGGTCATTCCAAGGCTTAACCCTATAGCCGCGCCCTACATAGGTGCTCTGCAAATACGTGTTATGTTGAAAATAATGTCGCATGTACTCAGGAATACTGTCTAGGCAGCTGAGATTGTTGAGACAAAAGGAGAGGGAGAGGCAAATAGATGAAAATTGGGTAAGAATGAGAACTTAGAAGTCTCTAGATGGTAAAAACAGAGGAGTGGAGAGTGTCAGGTGTGTAGGCAGCCGCAGGTCCAATAAAGGGCCCTTGACAAGGGAACCAGATTCCTTTCTGTTCTCTGAGACAGCTGTAGGTGCTAGCCGTCCTGGGGCAGCAAGGAAGAGCTGTGACTATCAAGAGTCGGGTTTAATATTTATTAAGCACCATCTTTATGCCAAGTACTGTGCTTGGGACTTTCATGTATATTGCATTTCAGTTAATCCTGGCAACAGCTCACTGGGACAAGACTATAATCCCCTTTTATTGTTTAGGAAACAGACTTGGAGAAGCCAAGTGGAACTCACATAGCTAGTGAGAATCTGGATTTTTCTATCATTAAGGTCTCACTGTAATTCATTCTCATTACTTTGATCCACTAGTCCTCACAACCGCTTCTGTAAAACCTTTTTGTTTTCTTTGCTTCAAGAAGATTTACATGCGCATTGTCAGGATTCAGGGGAGAAAAAAACACACACAGAAAATAAAATTTAAAAATTAAATTCCTACTATCGAGATACACCCACCATTAAGGTGTATATCCTTGCAGCTTTTTTTCTATATTGCATATAGTTTTGAAAATACAACATTAAGATCAGATTGAAGATTTTTTTTGAGACTTGTTTTTCCCACCTCCCATTACAAAAAACAGTGAGTTAATACGATAAATACAAGTATTAACTTTGCTGAATGTTTTTCCCTTTTATTTTTTATAAATATATTTTTATTGATTTCAGAGAGGAAGTGAGAGGGGGAGAGAGATAGACATCAGTGATGAGAGAGAATCATTGATCGGCGGCCTCCTGCAAGCCCCACACTGGGAATTGAGCCGGAAACCCCAGGCATGTGCCCTGACTAAAAATGCAGTGGTGACCTCCTGGTTCATAGGTCCACGCTCAACCACTGAGCAACCGTGGCCAGGCTATTTTTCCCTTTTAGAGAAGGATTCTAATGAGGCTTGTGAGGATTACACACGATCATGTGGGTGAAGCTCCTGCCAGGCACTGTGCCTGGCACCCTCCTCTGGCACCCTCCTCTGTGCCCTGACAGTCACTGCAAGCCCATTCCCTCCTTACCCTAAGCCGAGGCCAGAGCTTGCTGGTCTTCTCAGGAGCTGTAGAAGTCCTGCTGTGGCCATCAGTCCTCCACCTCTGCTCTATGTCCTTCGTTTCCTGTACTTGCCCTGCCCCTTTGACTGAGGAAAGGCCTCACTCCAAACCAATGTAAGTTTTGCTTCTCAAAAGGGGTGAACTAATTTTCTGTTTCATGCAATCCTTGGTCGCTCATCATGAACTGGGAATGTGCTCCTGAGCTAGACGGGAAAATGTCTGAGTGGTCCCACAGTGTTGGATATGCTGCTCCTCCATAATTAGCCACTATCCCCACCATCTGGACTCTCTCCTCCCTCACAGGGATTTCCTTGTCCACACAGAACTACCAAGAGTCCTACCCCTGCTGACTGAACTTCCCCATCTGTTCTCAAGCTTGCTTTGCCAGCTCCGGCCAGGCCAGAGGCCCCTTGGTGTCCATGCAAGGTAGTCCTCCCTCACTCTAGACTCTGACACTCCTGAGGTGGTGTGTGTGCTCGCTAATTTTCTAGTCTCATTTTGGTAAAGGCCAAACGTCCCAAATACCCTCACACTCTTACTTATTTTTCCCCCCACACTCTACTTCTTGAAAAGCAGGGCAGGAGCACATTTCTAGTTGCTAGATGAAGTGCTGTCCAATTCATGAATCATCTATTAAAGCCAATTAGATCTTTAAAGAAAAGAAAAAATAATAAAGAAAGAAGGAAAGCAGGGCAGCCAGATTTCTTTTTAGGTCTATCTATGTATATACTATAGAAAACTTGGAAACTATGCTTAACAAAGAGAAGAAAATGAAAATCTCAATTCAGGACTAAGCACACACTGATCACGTTTTGGTGTCTTTTCCTCCAGTCTTTTCTCTATACACATATGGCACTTTCTCAAGTCTCAGATTGCCAGAAGCATCATCTCATTAATAACAGCTTTTCGGGGAGGCAGCAAGGGGGAAACCCACTGCATTAAATATTCATAGTGATTATAAGACATCCTTACTTCAGAAATAGTAGGTAGTAAAAAAATAAACTATCATAGTACCTAGGAAATACTGTATATATTACATTAAATTTTTTTAAAACAGGATGATACTGTAACTTGCACTTTTCATTTAACAATATATTGTGAACATAGTACCATGCCATTTGAATTGTCCTGTACAATATATATTCCTTGATATGCTCCTACAAAATGAAAATAGCTTTTCTTTTTCTGAATATAAAGACAATGCATATTCATGTAGCAAATTCATGCAATGCAAAAAAAGTATAAAGAACAAAATAAAAACCAGTCTAAATCCCATTACCTACTGGCAACCACTGTTAATATTTTTGTGAATATTTTCTCCATGAATGTATATGCATATGTAAATATCTATCTATCTATCTATCTATCTATCATCTAAAACCCTAATCTGTAAATAGACCGAATGGCAAAACAACCGAACAACCGGTCACTATGACATGCGCTGACCACCAGGGTGCGCGTGCGGAACATGGCAGGTGTTGGCCACAGCGGGATGGTGGAGTAGGTGAGCGGGGACGCCAGACCAAGGCGGGGTGCTGGTCACTGTCATCCAGGCGAGCCTCTGGTTACTGAAATTTTTTTTCTCTGATGTGCCGTGGTCCCACCCGGTGCTTACACCTGCTGCTGGCGCTAGCCCTGCTCACACCCGCAGCCGGCACTGGAGCCATTGCTCTCACTCACTGCCGGCGCCCAGCACCAGCCCTGCTCGCACTCACTGACAGTGCGGAGTGATTGGGGCCAGCTCCAGCAGGGGGTGCAAGTTGGGCCAGTGCGGCAGCTTCTGGCCCCAATCACCCCTGAGGGCTTCTCCACGTTCCCCTGCTCCTGAGGGGCGATCAGAGCAGCAGCCGCCACTCGCACCCGTTGCTGGTGCTGGCCCCAATTGCTCTGCACAGTAAGCGGGTGTGAGTGGTGCCGGCGTGGTGGCGGCAGTGGCAGGAGTAGGGCTGTCGGCAGAGAGGGGACCAGGGGCCACAGTGGGAGGGGCCGGGTGGGGGCACGGAGGATGGGCCAAGACCCGCTCCTGTGCCCACCTCAGCCTTGTGGCCCACAGTTCCTTTTAAGGTGCATGAATTCGTGCACTGGGCACCTAGTATATTATATGAATGCATAAGTGGTGCTTTGTAAGGTGCCTTTTTTTTTTTAGGGAGGACCTTTTGGTATAAAACCAGAAGACATACTAGGCAAATTCAGAAAGAGCTGTAAGCACTTGTAACATGCTTTTATTTTTTACTTCTCAGTAAATCATAGTTTCCTCCAAGTCAATAAATATGTCTAGTTCATAATTTATTTTTATTTTTTATATTTTATTATTTTTTAATTTCATCATTTTTAAAGTCTGTGTCATATTTCTCTGTATGGATGTAGCATAATTTATTTACCTGGTCTACTACTGATTGACATTTAGGTTTCTTCCAGTTGTTCACCATTATACATAACATCTTTGTGTAATTAGCTCCTTGAAATAAATTCCTAGAAGTATAATTTCTGAATCCAAGCATGTGTATGTATTTCAGATTTGGATATGCATAGCAAATTTCACTTCAGTAGCTGTACTACTATTGCACTCCCATGAACAGTGATTAAGACTTCCCTCACCATTGCCTAAACTAGGTATTACCTTTAAAAATTTTTTTGTCAATCATTTTTCAACTAATGACAAAGGCAAAACCTGTGTGACAAGATAATTCAATGTGAAAAGAACAGTCTTTTCTAAACATATGGACTGGGACTATTATATATACACATGCAAAAGAAAGAAGTTGAACACCTACCTCACACCATATACAAAAATTAATTCAAAATGGGCCATAGATACCCTTGGCAGTGTGGCTCGGTTGGAGCGTTGTCCTATACACCAAAAGATGGTGGGTTCAATGCCCCATCAAGGCACATACCCAGGTTGTGGGTTCAGTCCTTAGTTGGGGTGCATATAGTAGGCAACCTATCGATGTTTCTCTCTCTCTCTTCCTCTCTCTAAAATAAATTAAAAATGGATCAAAGACTTAAATATAAGACCTAAAACTGACTTGGAAGAAAACAAGATAAATCTTCATGACCTTGGATTACATATAACACCAAAAACATTAACATACCAGAGGGAAAAAAAGAGATAAATTGGACTTAAGCAAAATTGAAAACGTTTGTGCTTCCATTGAAACCATCAAGAAAGTAAAAGACAGCCCTGGCCAGGTAGTTCAGTTAGCTTGAGTGTCATCCCATACAACAAAAGATTGCGGGTTTAATTCCTGGTCAGGGCACATACCTAGGTTGCAGGTTAAATCCCTAGTCCAGGCAGGTACTAGAGGAAACCGATCGATATTTCTCTCATATTGATGTTTCTCTCCCTTCCTCTCTCTCTAAAATCAATAAAAACATCCTAGGGTGAGGATTAAATATACATATATATTTAAAAAAAAAAGACAATGCATGCATGGAATGGGAGAAAATATTTGCAAATCATGTTTCTACTAAGGGACTTGTATTCAGAATATAAAAGAAATATTAGAACGCGACAACAAAGAGACAACCCAATTAAAAATGGGCAAAGAATTTGAATAGACGTTTCTCCAAAGAGGATATACAAATGATCAATAAGCCCATGAAAAGAAGCTAAACATTATCAGGCATTAGGGAAATACAAATCAAAACCACCATGAGATACTACTTCACACCCACTAGGATGGCTATCTTAAAAATGGACAAGTGTTGGTGAGGATGTGGAATCCTTGTGCATTGCTGGTGGGAATGTAAAATGGTGAAGCTGCTGCAGAAAACAGTTTGGCAATTCCTCAAAAAGTTAAACATAGATCCAGCAATTTCACTCCAAAGTATAAACTCAAGAGAGTGAAAATATATGTTCATGCAAAATTTGTTCACATATGTTTATAACAGCGTTATTCATAATAGCCATAAGTTGGAAACAACTAAAATGTCTGTAAATTGATAAATGGATAAACAAAATGTGGTATATCCATACAATGGAATTTTTTCAACCATAAGAAGGAATGAGGTACTGATACATGCTACAGCATGGATGCACCTTAAAAATACTATGCTAGCCCTGGCTGGTTTGGCTCAGTGGATAGTGTCAGCCTGAGGACCAAAGGGTCCTGAATTCGATTCCGCTCAAGGGCATGTACCTTGTTGCAGGCTCCTCCCTGGCCCAGGCCCTAGTCTGTGTGTGCAGTAGGCAACAATCAATGTGTTTCTTTCACATTAATGTTTCTCTCGGTCTTTCCCTCTCTCTTCCACTCTCTCTAAAAATCAATGGAAAAATATCCTCGGGTGAGGATTAAAAAAACATATATCTATATATATAAAACCCTAATATGCAAATAGACCGAATGGTAGAACAACTGAACAACCAGTTGCTATGACATGCACTGACCACCAGGGTGTGTGTGCAGAACTTGGCAGGTGTCAGCAGCAGGCGGCAGAGCGCAGAACATGTTGGGCATCGGCCACAGCAGGATGGTGGAGCAGATGAGTGGGGTGAGCCTCTGGTGGTTACTGGAAATTCTTTGCTCCCACGTGCTGTGGTCCTGCTGGGTGCTCACACCTGCTGCTGGTGCCCAGCGCCGGCCCAGATCACTTGGCACTGTCAGCGGGTGCAAGCGCCGGCTACAGGCCCCGATCACCCCTCAGGGCTTCTCCACCTCCCCCTGCTCCTGAGGGGCGATCGGGGCAGCAGTTGCCACTCGCACCCACTGACGGTGCCGGTCCCACTTGCACCTGCTGCTGGCGCAGGCCCCAATCGCTCAGTGCAGTCAGCGGGTGCGAGTGGGGTCAGCACCATCAGCAGGTGGGAGTGGGGCTGCTGGCAGTCATGGGACCAGGGGCCTCAGTGGGAGGTGCCGGGTGAGGGCACAGAGGATGGGCCAAGACCTGCCCCTGTGCCCACCGCAACCTCGCGGCCCACAGTTCCTTTTAAGGTGCACAAATTCGTGCACTGGGCCCCTAGTATATACATATAATGCTGGCCCAGCTGGTGTGGCTCAGTTGGTTAAGCATTGTCCCATGAACCAAGAGATTGCCAATTCAATTCCTTGTCAGGGCACATGCCCCGGTTGTGTTGTGGGCTTAATCCCCAGTAGGGGGCATGCAGGAGGCAATAGTTGATCTAAGTTTCTATGGCTCCCTCTCCCTTCCTCTCTCTGAAATCAATAAAAACATGTTAATAATGATTATGCAGGCCTAGCCCAATGGTCGGCAAACTGCGGCTCGCGAGCCACATGCGGCTCTTTGGCCCCTTGAGTGTGGCTCTTCCACAAAGTACCACATGCGGGCGCTCATATACAGTGCGATTGAAACTTCGTGGCCCATGCGCAGAAGTTGGTATTTTGTGTCGGTATCATGTGGCTCGTGAGCCACAGTTTGCTGACCACTGGCCTAGCCAGTTTGGCTCAGTAGATAGAGACTGAAGGGTCCCGGATTTGATTCCGGTCAAGGGCACATACCTTGGTTGCAGGTTCCAACCTGGGATCCTTCAGTCTGCAGGCCAACACTATCCACTGAGCAAAACTGGCTATGGCATCAAATTTGTTTCATTCCAGTTATAATATTTTCATTTCCAAGTTCTCTTTCTTGTTCTTTTTTATTTTTATTGATCTTAGGGAAGAAAGGAAGGAGGGAGGGAGGGAGGGAAGGAGGGAGTGAGGGAGGGAGAAAGAGAGAGAGAGAGAGAGAGAGAGAGAGAGAGAGAGAGAGAGAGAGAGAGAGAGAAACATCAATCTGTTGCCTCTCATAGAGCCCCAACCCAGGAAGGAACCCAAAACCTGGGTCTCAAAGATCATATAGCTCAAATTCTAACAGACTCAAACATGAACTTTGGTGCCAAGGAACTCACCTTTCCCTGAAGGGCTTTGTTCCATTTCCATATTGCTCAAATCATTAGGAAACTTCCTTAGGTTGAACTGACATGTTGACTTCATATAACTAGAGTCCTAGCTTTGCTCTCTGAGCTACAAAACACACCTGTATTCTCTCCGGCCAAGTTTGCAAACTGCTGAAATGTGGGTATTGGACCATGTCTTGTTGGCTCTTTATAGCATTTAAAAATATCTCAGTTATTTTCCAACATTAAAACATTATGAGACTTTTTACATAGTAAACGGTTTCTGGCTTCTCTTGAAAGATCAAAAGGTCCGTGTAGTTGCCTCCCCAATACGATTCTTCTCCTTTTTTTTTTTTTAATAAGGATTAAAACTTTTGTACCATCCCCATCCTCCCTGACTCAACCTGTGTGCATTGGGAAAGACTGATTACCGAGCTCCCCCCGCCCCCACTCTTGGTTGTAGGAAACAGAATCTGTGATGGAGAGTTGCATGCAGAAGTTTATTGGGGAATGCTCTCAGGTCATCCACCTATGGCAACGTGAAGAAGACAGGGTGAGCATGGAAGAAGCTGACCACCACAATAATTACAACTTAGTAGTTACAACCAAGGCCTCAGCTGATCCCACGAGGACCTTAAGAATGGGCATGCCCTTCAGAGTTGTTCCAAATTGAAATAAGGGGGGCAGGCATTTGTATTCTCACGTTAGCCAGTCACTAACTTCCTGCTTCACTCTGGCAGCGGGTGTAAACCAAGTGTTTCCTGAGGCTGAGAGCAAGAATATTCCCAGCAGCTGAGTCCTGCTGAATCAAACCAACCTTGAAGCTTGAGTTGCCCTAGACTTTTAGTGTGAGCTTCACTGATAGGTCAGTTTTTCAGTTGTAGTGACTTGCAAATGAACATACCTTGACACATTCTGCCAACAAGGAGCTGTATTTTTTGGCAATAACCTGCTGAGTGGCAGCTGCCTTCCTTTTAGATGGATCACTTGGTTTCCCTTTATTAGTGCCCACTAGGCTTTTAGGAGTGGTAGCAGAGAACTAAATTCTAATCTAATAGTAGGATGTCAGTAGATACTGTCTAAAGTGGAAAAATTCAAGAAATAGCATCAGAAGCAGGTTTTTATAAAAATATGCAGGTAAACATCAGAAGAAATTACCAAAAGAGTTGGTGGTAGTTGCCTTTGGGGAGATTCCTCTAGGTGGGATAGGACAAGAGACCACAGCTGGTTTTTGTGGGAAGCCTCAAAGTGCCCTTTGACTTGAAGCTTGCCGTACTCCTGTTGAGAATGCATGCTCCAGGGCATCTGTACTGTGCTCTGACTAACCTAGCACCCAGGCCTCCTGCCTGCCTCTGGCCTTTCTTCTGGGTAGGGG